GGCGTGGAGGGGCGGGGCCCGGGGCGGGACGAGGGCCTGCGGTCAGTACAGCGTGGGGAAGCGGGGGATGGGAAGAAGCGATGGGCGGGGCCTCCACGGCCTGGGGCGGGACTTCCGTCTCGGGAGCGGCGGCCCCGGTACGCCCGTGGTGGCCTCGCTCTGGGCCGGCCCGGGCGCTGGGAGCGATCGCGTTCCTGGGAGCTGGTTTTCTCTGCCTCCGCCCGCCCGGGACGCCCTGCGAAGGGCAGGTCGGTGTGGCCGGAAGGAGCCGCCCCTGCCTGGGCTGTCCCGGTCCTTCGCCGTCGGCGTCCGAGGAAGGGCCGCGGTGCCCGGGAAACCTCGGTGTGAGGAGTCAGGCCCCGGCGCCCCGGCGTTTCGGCCGGACAGATGCCCGGAGTCTGGCCGCAGCCTCGGGGGCGGCTTAAGTCCCTCAGCGAAGCCACAGGGACAGCCAGGAAGGGGCGTTCCCTCCGGGCCCCTGCACGCCCGCGAAGGCAGCTCGGTGACTGCGGCGTCCAGCGGGCCTGCACCTCCCGGAGCGCGGCAGCAGCGGGGGCGGGACCCGAGGGAGGCACCGCCGGCCCGAGAGGGGGAGCTGCCCGCCCCGGCGCCGCCGCCGCCTTCACCCCTCAGGCCGGGGTTCCTGCCTCACCCTCGTGGTGTTCTCCTTCCCCGGTGCTGGGTCTTCCTTCCCGCCCTTCCCCTTCTCTCCCGCCTTCTCTTTCCCTGTTCACGCTCGGGCCCGGCGGCCCGCGCAGGGACCCGGCCCCTCTCTTGCTGGCCTCCCTCCTGTCGCCTGCCTTGATGGACTCAAAACTCTTCCTCCCCGCCCCCTAGTTTCTTGGCAGCATCTGGTCTTGTGTGATTACTTCGGATCCCAGGAGGAAACCGATGGCTTTCTCAGTGGGACAGTTCGAGTCCAACGAGGCTCCCGCTGGCAGAGGCGGAGCGGGGAAGCCACAGGGCGGTCAGAACTGGGACAGGTCACAGCAGGGAGGGGACAGCCAGAGAGGAAGAGAGCGCTAAACAGGAGCTGTGACCTGTGGCCAGGGGACACAGCCAGCCCTTGTGACCCAGCAGAGAGAGCCAGGGAAGAGACCCGGCGCCGTGGCTCACGCCTGTAATCCCAGCACTTTGGGAGGCCGAGGTGGGCGGATCGCCTGAGCTAAGGAGTTCGAGACTACCCTCAGCAAGATGCCGAAACCCCGTCTCTACTAAGATAACAAAAAATTAGCCAGGTGTGGTGGCGTTGGCCTGTAGTCCCAGCTACTTGGGAGGCTGAGGCAGGAGAATCGCTTGAGCTCTGGAGGCGGAGGTTGCACTGAGCTAAGATCGAGCCACTGCACTCCAGCTTGAGCTACAGAGTGAGACTCCATTCCCCCTTCCAAAAAAAAGGAAAGAGAAAGAGAACCAGGGAAGAAACTACACCTGCCCCCCACTCTCCCCCATTCCCCCCCCCCCGAAACTGTCAACCTTGTCTCCTGCCTATGTGCGGATGGTGGAACCTTCCAAAGCAAGCAGTGCCAAGCCAGAAGGAAGCAGGCCACAGAGCTTAGCCCCCTCCAGCTCCAGGGCAGGGACAAGTGGCCCTGAGTGGAAGATGGGGACACACGACCTGCAGGGCTCTTCTTTCCCTTTGGCTTTTTGGCTTTTTCCTCTGCGCTTGCCTGGCCTCCAGGTGCCTTGTGGACCTGGGATGGGGGAAGAGGATGAGCAGCTCATACGAGGGGTCCCCGAGCCTATGAGAGAAATTGCGCCCAGCAGGGGGTGGTCCAAGAAGCTGTTTCCCAGGGAGGAAGCACACTAGTCCCTCCCGGTGAAAGCCAGGGCCCCCAGAAGTGGGGAGAAATGGCGGGAGATGGAGAGAAGGTGTAAATGTCATACTGGAAGGTTTTGAAAAGATAGGTCTTGCCAATTCAGCAAAACTCATTCAATCCATCTGGAGGGGGCTAGATGCAGAACCATGCCCAAATCTCTGGGTAGTCAGTCCCTGGCACCTGTCGTTCTGCTCCTCTTGTGGGCCCGGACCTGCAGGGCAGCCTCTGTTGGCACAGGGAGGGCCTTGGGGAAGCGTGCACCTGCTCTTCCATGCTCACCAGGCAGCGCCCCAGTGTCCCTACCCACAGTTCATTAGCTACAGTTGCTGAGGAGGCACCCCTAAACTGAACAGGTGGGATGGACCATGGGACTCGAGGCACGTGTCCCCACATTCCAACACGTGCTACAACACGGATGACCCTTGAGGACATTATGCTAAGTGAAATAAGCTCATCATGAAGAACAGATACTGTCTGATTCCACTTATATGAGGTCCCTAGAGGAGGTAAATTTACAGAGACAGCCAGTACAATGGTGGACGCCAGGGGCTGGGGCGAAGAGGACGGGAGTTATTTACAGGTTCCGTTTGGAAGATGGAAGCATTCTGGAGAAGGCGGCGGCGGTGTTTGCACAACTGTGTGTGAATGTGCTGGCTACTCCCCAGGTGAGACTTGGAAATAGTTCAGATACAGCCATTACGGAAAACAGTACGGAGGTCCCACAAAAAATCAAAACTCGAACTACCATGTGATCCCGCAGTCCCACTGCCGGGTGTGTATCGGAAGGAAATGAAACCAGTGTGTCCAAGAGGCTCACTTCGGCACTGCTCACAATAGCCGGTGTATGGACCCCACCTCGGTGCTCATCGACGGATTTGTACATAGAGAAAACATGCTATTTATAACTGAAGTCTGTGGAGCCTTTAAAAAGAAGGACATGTGCCATTGCAACAACAGAGACAAACCTGGAGGACATTATATTAAGTGAAATAAGCCAGGCCCAGACAGACAGATGTCACATGGTCTGGCTTACATGTGGAATCTGAAAACATGCGAGTCACAGAAACAGAGCAGAACGCTGCTTAGAGAGGCTGCGGGTGGGCAGGAGCTGGGGAGACGCTGGCAAAGGGCACAGAGTTTCAGCTGTGCAGGATGAGTGAGTTCAGATCCGCTGTATACCATGACGTGAAAGTCGCTGAGCACATTTTAAATGTACTCATCTTTTTTTTTTTTTTTTTAGGATACTACACTTTTATTTTAGGATATTTTTTGGTTTATAAAAACAGTTTCAAAATATGCAGAGCATTCCCTTAGGCTCCCCACCCAGTTTCTCTTATTATTAGTGTCTTACATTGGGTTGATACATTTGTCACAATTACTTATTCAGTATCAATACATTATTATTAACTGATGTTCATATTTTACTCATAGGTTTTAAAATTTTTATCTAAGATCGTTTTGCTGGTCCAGGATACCATCCAGGATACCACATTACATGAAGTCATTGATACTAATTCCTTAGGCTCCTCTTGGCTGTGACAGTTTCTCAGACATTTCTTGTTTTGCATGACCTTGGCAGTTTTGAAGAGTATTGGTCAGGTATTTTATATAGTGTCTCCATGCTGGGATTTTTTTTTTTTTATGATTAGATTGAGATTATGGGTTTTTGGTAGGAAAACCACAAAAGTAAACTGGCACTCTGATCAAATCCTATCAAGGATACATACTAGCAACAGAATGTATCACTGTTGATGCTAGAGCTGATCACCTGACTGAGGTAGGGGTTCTCAGGTCTCTTCGCCAAAGCGTTTCTCTCTCTACTGTACGTGAATGATGGACACATTAGCTTATTTTAGTCATTCTAAAATGTAAACATGTCAAAACATCAGGTTGTACAATTTTTCATTTGTTAATTTAAAATAATAAAAATATACTATGGGATTTGCACTAATTAAAAACATTCAAATCTCAGTCCAGGCGTGGTGGCTCACGCCTGCATTCCCAGCTCTTTGGAAGGCTGAGGCGGGCGACTCACTTAAGTTCAGGAGTTGGAGACCAGCCTGGGCCACACAGGGAAACCGTCTCTACAAAAACAAACAATGAGCCAGGCATGTGGTGTGTGCCTGGGGTCCCAGCTACTTGGGAGACTGAGGCAGGAGGACCACTTGAGCCCAGGAAGCAGAGGTTGCAATGAGCCAAGGTCACGCCACTGCACTCCAGCCTGGGCAACAGAATGAGATCCTGTCTCAAAAACAAAAAATGTAATGGTTAACTTGGTAAACTTTATGTTATGTAAGAAAACATGTAAAACACTGTTCTCTGAGAGGATGACACCTTACCTGGGGACCCGGTGGGAGCTGTCCTCAGCAAGCGGAGGCTGACAGTGGGAGGTGGGACCTCAGACTGGGTCCCTCGCACAGCAGGGACCACAGGATGGTAGAAGCGAGTGGATGCACTTCCTGGGCAGGGAACGGCCGGTAGAATGGGCAACCAGGCCGGAGCCAGCCCGCTCCAGGAGCTACGCCAATGGGGCTCACAGGGACAAGGAGATGGCAGCTCACTCAGGATTGACAGCGTCCATAATTAGACAAGGAGAGCTGGGAGCTGGGGCCGCTGGGGCCCCGGGCAAGCCACATGCCTCACGCAGTCTCCAGGTGGGAGCCAGTCCACAGGCCCAGAGCCCTTCACCAGGATGCAGACTCCAGGAAGGCCCTGGAATGCCCCTAACAAGTGTTTCCCTAGCCCTCCCCTGGGCCTGTGGCAACTTGCCAGGGCCCACAGGTCCTAGAAAGGAGGGACACCCAGACTTTTGGGGAATTGCTTGTGTCAGGGTCAGGCACCAGGATAACCCAAACCCATCTGTCCTCCTGAAAGAGCTGGGGCTCATCGGAGCTTGACCAGGTCCCCCTCAAGGGGCACCCGTAGGCCTGCAGGTCTCCCGTGGGTTTCCCTGGCCCCAAAGTTGGAGCGGGGGAGCTGTGCCGAGAAGCCAGGCCTGGAGGGGAATGCTGGTGGCCAGGCATCCAGATGGCCTCTGCGGCCCACACCCTTCCTGCCCAGCAGGGATGCTGCCCACACCCATGAGTCCCCCTTGTTAGCTGCCCCCTCTTCTGTCAGGGTCCAGCTTCTTGTTACAAGCTCTGTGGAGCCAGCACCATCCCCACCCTAGCCCCAGCTCTCCCACACACCCAACAGACCGCACACACCCACCAGGCCCATCACTTTTGGGGGTCCGTGCACACTCCCCAAGTGGCTGTAATTTCTTTGCCATCAAATCCTTGTGTGCACTCAGAGCAAAGAACACGCAAGGCTTCAGGAGCGCAGGCCCACAGTGTCTCTCGGCAGCCTGGCCATGAGACGGGGAGGACCCAGAGGGACTCTGTCGCTCATGCTGGGGACCAGGGTAGGGACGGAGTGGAGGGACTGGGGCTGTCCCCAAACAGCTAAGGGGACAGGTTTGTGTGGGGCCCAGCGAGTTTGGGGTAGATGTGCAAGCTAAGGGCCCACCCAGGCCTCACAGGGCAGATGAGCCAGCCAGCCCTTGCCCGTGCGCCGCCACCTCTGAAGTGCTCTGGCTGGGGACCACCCTCCCGGAGGCCCTCCCTGCCTTCCAGGTGGGGCAGCCTCCTGAAGCCATGCTGTGGAAATCACCATCCGTGAGCAGAGGAGACAAATTAAATGAAGCATAATGTTTTTCATCAGAACACACAAGATGAATGAAATCGAGCACAGCATACTAAGCAGAGCTCATGGTAATTAGGGACATTGTCCCAAATGGAATACACATTAATTAAATAGACCGTACTGTTCCCACACGGAACTTCCTCAGGCTGCCAGGGCCAGGGGGTGGGGAGGTCCCAAAGGCCAGCAGACAGGGTCGGGTTCAGGAAGCTGGAAGGGCTTGACCACTGGTGAACGCCGCCCTCCTGTGCAGCCCGGCTCTGAAATGTGTCTTCTTGTCACAGACCGGAGGCTCGGCGCACCAGAACTGCTCCAGCTGGAGAAACAGCAGTTTGGAGACGATGTCCTTCTGCTGGTTTCTGCTTTTTGTTTGTTCGTACCAGGTTCTGTGCCTCGAGAAAATGTACGTTTCGGAGAGTGTTTTCCTTCCCAGAAAATAAACGTGAAATAAATCAGAAAGCATTGACTCAAACCACAAAAATGATTTCGGAAATGTTTTCAATGTTGCTCTTCAAGACCCCTTGAACAGTGGTGCACGTGCCACCCTCGCGGGGCTCTGCCCAGCTCTGGGGCCTGGCGCTGCAGGTTTTCCCACTGCTCAGCCAGCAGGTAGCACTCAGAGCTCACCTTTCCCAGAGAATTGTGAAAGAACGGGGTGTCCCTTTCTCTCTGTCTTCCTCAGTAACTCCCTAATACGTGCCAAAAGCTGATGCTGGCCCCGACCCATTCACCCATAAAGGCCCAGATCACCGGCACAGCCAGGTCCCCAGGCCTCCCCAGCAGAATTCCACTCCGTCCCACTGGAGCGGTGTTGTCTCCCGCAGGCACCGCTGATGGGGCTCTCACTCACTAAGGGCCTGAAAGTGGCTCTGTGACCCTCAACCAACCCTGCACATGCCCGTTTACAGATGCAGAAGCTGAGGCTTGGGGAGATGAAGGGCTCTCAACACACGCCCGCTCTGCCTTTCCCGGTGTGTACTGCCCAGCCCGACCTGGTTACCACAGGTGCCTTTCCCGCCCGCCGCCTGAGCTGCTCTAGCTCTGAGAATGCGCTGTCTACATCACAGGAGCCACAGAAACCACAGGGGGCAGCTGGGCAAAGTTGCAGAGCATTGAAGAAAAGGAGAGGCGGCACAGCTGGCCAGAGTGGGCACCTGTTACCAGCATCCGAAGCATGTAGGTATAATTAAGGTCCCAATTTTCAGATGGTGAAACTGAGGCTCAGGGGGTAAAGCATGTTCAACCAGCTCGGTGGGACCTGCACCAGTGTCATGCCTTTGCCTATCTGGCTTCTCCATGACAGCAAAGTCTTGGTTTCAGCACAGGGAAGGTTACAAGGCGCTGACCTGGAGTGGCAGCGAAGGATGAGACCAGCCCACTTCCTCACTGCAGTCTCCCGAAGGGGCATAAATGGAGAAGGCAGGATTTGGCAAGAGATTTTTGGGGGTGCCGTGCTGTGGGCCTGCACCACAGCATGGGGGAGGAACCGCTGAGGGGACACGATGCTCGAGGCATCGGGGTGGCTGGACTGCAAGGGACAGGCCTGACTCTGAGTCTGTGGGGACAAGGGGTGCCTGGGCTCCTGTGGCCAGCGGCGAAGCATGAAGTCATCCTGTTCACTTGCCCCGTAAGGGTCAGAGGCCCGCGGCAAGAACAGGAGCAGGTCCCAGGAATGGGTGCAGGTCCCCACCAATGGTCACTCAGGGACCACAGAGGCACCAGAGTGGTGAGCCTTACACCCACCAGGCCTGGCCTGCAGGATGCTGCTCACCAGGCCCTCATTCCTCCTCACTCCCCCACCCTGCATCCACCTTCGGAGGGAAGACAGCAGCCCCCACCCACCCCCCAGCACAGGCTTCCACCCCAGGAGGCCAGGACGGTGGGGAACAGAGCCCACAGGGACTGGCTTTAAACCAAGAATGGAGCTTGGATTAATATCTCAGGCTTCAGGTAGTGGATTTGGACTGACTCCAAATTGAGACTGTATTAGCCTCTTGAGTGACAGAGCTGCCTGTTTTGTGAGATGCACAGAGGATCCCCAGGCAGCCAGGAGTGTTGAGGGCCGGAGGGGGCTTGCCCACTGCATCCGCAGTCATGGGGAACAGAAGCAGAGCAGGCTGCATTTGGCAACCTCGGGAGAAAGGTGTTCTCAGTGTGGGAAAGAAACAACATGCGGCCCAGGGCAGGCAGGGTGACAGTTCCACCTGCCCTTAGGGTGGCCAAGTGGCCTCTCCTGGCTGAACATCAAAGGTCCCGTGTCCCTAGAACCCCCTCGGTCCTGGGCAAACCACGCAGCTGGTCACCCTCCCTGTAGTGGCCTCATGAGTAACCAGAGGACGTCCCAGCCGGACTGAGGCCCTGCCTTGCCCACCTCCAGAATCTGGGCTCCCCTCACATTCCCTGGGCTCCCTTCTTTTGGTGGCATGGCCGCAGCTCGTCCCTGAAGCGCAGCCATGCATGCAGCAGGAAGTGCTGGAGAAGCCGAAGCTCCATCAGTCTGGGCTGACATTTACAAGATGTACTCCTCACCGCGAAGCTGAGGGTTGACAAAGGACTCTACGGAGTCCTGCCCCAGGCAAGGGCACTCCCCAAGACAAGAGAACCCAGAGTCTTGCCCACGCACAGCTCCTGTGTCAGGCCACAGGCTGGTGGCTCTGACTGGCCAGTTGACAGAAGTCTCCTCTGGAAGGGGACCGGGGCAGGGGACAGAGGGGATGAGGAGGCACCACCTCGTGCTGATCCCCCGACAGTGACAATGGGGCTGGGGCTTGTTGTGGGGCGGGCAGCCTGATTGACCCACCCCATGAGGTTAAGCACACTGCACCAGCCCTCTGGTCAATGAGTGGCCTGTGTCCTGGGAGCTTCCAAGGCTGAGGAGGCCACCACACAGGACAAAGGGAGGTGTAGCGGAGCAGTGGGCAGCAGCCCCCCTTTTCTCCAGGCCCCTGCTCTCCCAGAGGCCCGGCCTCGCCAGCCTGCCACGCCCTTTGTCCCTCACATTGCTCTGGTCACTTCAGTCACAACCCCCAAAACAGGCTTCTGCGGGAGCCAGAGCACGCGCTATTAACGGGGGGCGGAGCTGAAGGAAGGGCTTCCCGTGCTGCCTGGGCAGCCACCCTGCCACACCACACGTCGGGGTTCCCTCCCTCTGCTGTCCCACCCTCCAGACAAGACCCTCCAGCTGGGTAGCCAGTCAAGTCCTCAGTGGGGACCACCTTTCTGCAAGTGCCCCAAGAATGCGATGGGGCTCTCTGTATCAGTGCTATCCAGAGAAACAAGATCCAGTACGGCGTGCAGAGACAGAAAAAGAGGAGGGGGAGGCTTATTATTATTATTATTTTGAGATGGAGTCTTGCTCTGTCACCAGGTTGGAGTGCAATGGCGCGATCTCGGCTCACTGCAACCTCCGCCTCCTGGGTTCAAGCGATTCTTCTTCCTCAGCCTCCCGAGTAGCTGGGACCACAGGCATGTGCCACCGTGCCAGGCTAATTTTTGTATTTTTAGTAGAGACGAGGTTTCACCATGTTGACCACGATGGTCTCAATCTCTTGACCTTGTGATCCGCCCACCTCGGCCTCCCAAAGTGCTGGGATTATGGATGAACCACCGCATCCAGCGGGGGAGAGACTTATTTTAAGAAATTGACTCATGGGCTGTGGTGGGGGGGCCAGCAGGTCTGCATTCTACAAGGAGGACCCTGCTGGAGACCTAGGGGGAAGCTGACACCGCCCCTCAAGTCCGAAGCACCATGCTGCCTTCTCCAGAACCTCTGACTCTCCTCTCAAGGCCTTCAACTGCTCAGATGAGACCCACCTACACCATGGAAGGTCATTGTCCTCACGCACAGTTCCCTGACTTAAATGTTAACCGTATGTAAAAGATACCTTCACAGTGACATCTAGACTGGCACCGACAAAACAGTAAGTACCGGAGCCCAGCAGAGTTGACGGACACCAAGCATCGCAGCGTCTCAGAGACGGGGGCAGCACCAGGACTCTGGCTTACCAGCCCTGGGAACCCACCGAGGGTCTGGCTGTTACCTCTGCCTCCCACTGGATAGTTTTGTTTTTTTGAGATAGGATCTTGCTCTGTTGCCCAGGTTAGAGTGTAGCAGTGGGATCACAGCTCACTGCAGCCTCGACTTCCCAGACTCAAGCCATCCTCCTGCCTCAGCCACCTGAATGGCCGGGGACACAGGCATGCACCACCTCACTCAGCTAATGTTTGAATTTTCTGTAGAGACAGGGTCTTACCGTGTAGCCCAGACTGATCTCAAACTCCTGGGCTCCAGTCACCCTCCCACCTTGGCCTTGGAAAGTGTTGAGATTACAGGTGTGCGCCACCGTGCCAGCCCTCACTTAACGTTTCTTAATGTTTCCCAGAGGACAGTGGGGTAGTTTAGGGAGCAGCTGAGCAGCCAGCACGTACAGAAGTACCCCCACACCCGCACCTCCACCCTCCCCTCCAGGCACCCTGCTGGTGCCTCCTGTCAGCCAGGGTGAGCAGGGCTTCAGTCAGCCCAGCAGATTATCACACTGCCCCAGCACCCAAGCTAGCAACCCAACTCCCAAACCCGGGGGCGTGCCATCAGCCAGTGCAGTCCAGTGCAGCTTCCTGCTTCGCCTTGCCTCTCTGTCCAGATTCCCCTCAGATGCAGCCAATCCCAGGGGACAGGGGGCGAGGGAAGGCTCGACCTCTCAGCTGGAGTCTGGGCTGCCTCCCACAGTGGCTTCCAAGTTTAATTCCATCTTTTCCTAGATGTCCCCACCCCACGCCTTGGGAGCCCACTCCTTCCCCGCCTGTGCCCTGAACCTAGCAAGAGGGTTCACCTGTACCGCCCTTTCCACGAGGCCCTGAACCTGGCTCTTGCTCTGTCTGTCCCATGGTTCCGACAGGTAAGGAAAGCCTTCCTTGAAGGCACAAAGGTCTCCTGATTTCCACTGGCGCATCCTGCTGGGATTCAAGCCCTCCGATTTGTCCTTGTCTCCATGGATGCTCTATCTTGACCCACCAGTCACCACCTCCATTGTCATCATAGCTTCTAAGCGCCTCTGGCACCTCCCAACCCGTGGCCTCACCCATGCCTACCCTGGTGGTCATCTGAGTGATGGTGAACCCTGTGTGTGCAGGGAATGATTAGTGCCCCGGCTCCCCCACTAAGAAAGTCATTACGTAGCCATCAAATATGTGAGTGACCCAGTGTTCCAATCTCAGTTTGAGAATCTGTTCCCTGGGGCCTTTCCTGGTTGCTCTATCAATCAGGAAACAGAAACCACACTCAAAAGAGGTGACTGAGGTTTGTCGAATGAGGGGCTTGTTTACAAACCTGTGGAAAGGTTAAGGGAAATGCTGGGGCAGAGGGGTTACCCAGGTCGGGCAATGGGTTACCAAGGGCGCTATGGGCACCAAGGCTCCAGGGACACGG